CTGGAACAACAACGGCAAAGTTTGTAGCATTTCATCACAACTAAATTCCTCGTACCTTATTGAGAATTAGGACTGGGTTTGAAGTTATTAAGACCTACGTGGATGGGAAACATCCCCTTAAAATTTCAGCTTTCTAGCTTTTTTGGCTGAGCCTAAATTGATGTAAGCAACTCTGCAGTTCTTTCTGATGCTGTGAGTACAAGTCGAAGCCAGATTCTTCTTACTGCAGTACCTGGGGATGCACTTTGATCAAACTAAAGTTGCTTTTAAAGGGATTCCAACCAATAAACTGACTTTTGCGGGGGAAGCGGCAAACAGCACACAGCTATTTAATCGGCCAAATTTAACTCCTTAGCAATTTTATTAATGCACACGGCTGTACACAGGCCAGTGTAGCATTTCGTATTTCAATCCCCTATAACAAAGCTAGCAAGGTTGGGGGAGGGGAATGGAAAGTATTACTCTCGCAGTGGGCGCCACAATTATACTAAAAGGAACGTTCCACTGAACGCTAGTAATCTCGCTCTTTTTTTCCGTTTTGATTCATATTCATATCCGTTATTCATCTGCATTTCAACAAATGTATTTGTATAACTCTATTGTCGATTGCACTTCAGTGAAGTTATTAATATAACTGAATCTGAATTTAACTACCTTTTGTTTCAAAAAATTCTGTTCCATTAACGTATTATAAATGTAAAACTGTAAGCACTGTATTATTTTTTTCGCAATTTTAACCGTTGGCAATCTCCAGGTGGCGGCATGCTTTGGCTGGAACAACAACGAATACCGCGAACGCGTCGGTTCGCTGCAAATCCTTATCGAGCTACCAGACTTCATTCGTGGCTACGACTACAGCTGGCAGCCGTTCTCCGTTTGTGCAAAGTTTGGGGACGAAAAAGAGTGGTTCCCGGTTTATGTGGATCGTAAGGGTATCATTTCGCCATGCGTCTGCACATTCGACGGCAAACAGATTCTCGGCAAGGTAAATCAAGCATGGAAAGTCATACAAAAGTTAGAGTAAAATCAACTTAAGATGTTACGGCTGCTACTATTGTGGACAAAAGAACGCGGTGTTTTCACAGGCAACTGAAAAAAGCCGACAAAATTTTGAAAAATGTACGATGCTTGTGGTAGCAACAGTTACACGTTTTAGAAGTATAAGCATGGGTATTACGCAAGCAGTTTTGAATGTCCCAGTTTTAAGCGTAGAGAAAAAGAGCGAATAGTGTAATTCGTACAGGGGAAAGGCGTCAGCTGAGATGAAGGTATTGCATTATGGGGCCGCATGGATCTCCAGCGGGCGTGATTATCAGTTTTTTGCATGAAGCCCGGTCGTTTTTTCGATATTTAGCAAGCCATGATTCGAGGGATTCGCAGATAGTCAAGATGTGGAGTTCGATTTCCTCTCGGTTCCGTTTCTTTGCCAAAGAGGCTCTATTCATGGCAGTTAACTCACCTCCTCTTCCTTTCTTATTAGCGTGTTTCGCTCCATCCTCAAAAGCACAAATAAAACTTTAGGTGTTCTGAGTAAAAACTAACATTTTTCTTGTATCATTTTAACTACAGCTAACGTCTACTGTTTGTAAAAAAAAAAAAGAAATAAAACTCTGTGAAACTGTTAGAACTAATAAGTCGCTATTCAAAACGGCAAAAAAGAAAACTACAGTCGTACAAATTCTAAATCCGCGAAATTTTTCCACAATTTCAGGCCGACATTCGCAATGAGAAGGCATCAGCAGCATTTGGTGGCAAAGAAAATGTTATGGTTGGGCCAGGCGTACAGAATCAGATTGTCTTGTGCCGTAAAGCACGTCCGGGATACAAATTTGACTAAATCGGCGATTTCCAAGCCGTTCGAGTGCCCCCGCCTCGATCTCTTTCTCAGAAGATATCGCTCAGAAGTGATTATACTGATATTTTATCTTCCTGTAAAACTGGTGTGCTGCCACCAGATAACATTAGCGACAGCGAATTCGCAATAAAATTGATTCACCGTCATTTTTAAAGCACACCCTTCCAAGATGCAAAAAGTTTGAGGCGATTAATTTTTGATGAGAAAAGTTTTTTCCTTGTAGTGTAAAATGAGAGGGAAGATGCGGGGAGGGGAGAAAAAAGGGGAGAGAGGGGAAGGAAGACGGAAAAAGGAAGAAATGAAATTTTGGAGATTGGCCTTAGTAATTCAGTTCATATTCGGCCTTGAATAAACGGAGCTGATTGGTTCCTAGTGGATTTTGATGAATCGAAAGAATGATCAAAACACTGAAATCTAGAAAAAATAATCGCTTAGTTGGATGCGTAATTGAAAAATACCAGTGAATCTTATTATTTTGAGCAATGAAAGCCGAAAC